TGATTATGCTAAAAGTGCTAATGATGCTGGTGATGCTGATGATGATTATGCTAAAAGTGCTAATGATGCTTGTGGTGCTCATGATGCTACTGGTGGTGATGATTCTGATGGTGCTGATGCTGCAGATGGTGCTGATGACAATTTCGAAGTCATGTCTGACCATAAGTCATCATCAGCAATATCAGAATAATCAGTACCATCTGAATAATCAGTATCATCTGCATCATCCGCACCATCAGACTCATCAGCACTACCAGCATCATCAGCACCTTTAACATAATCATCATCAGCATCGTCAGCACCATCAGAATCAGCATCATAAGCACCACCCGCGCCATCAGAATCATTAGCACCATCTGTATTAGCAGTACCATTAGTAGTATACATTAGCATCATCAGCTGCATCAGATTATTAGCATCTTCCGTCATTATCATCATTTTAGTACCAGTAGAGCTTCTTGTGAGAGTTCGTCCAGAGAAGTACTGACAGCTTAATTATTTCTTCCGCCAAGCAGGTGTACGGTAATGAAGAGTCTATAATATACTGCATTTTTGGACATGAATAACTTTAAAATCCAACTTTGACTTACAACATCGTCGTCGAACATCGTAGGACAAAACTACTAGGTGAGTAGCTTTGTCCTACGAGACCGTAAAGCCATTTCCGGAAATCCAGAATCCGAAAAAAGTAATGAATTAAAATTTGGTAGTTTTAACAACTCTACGTCACTTCTTGTAGCTATATCTATACATGTATCTATAGATTTAGAATACCTTTTTCCGATCTATGATTATAACACATATACAAAGATTGATATATCTGTTACTGTCACTCGAATGGGCTAAACAGATTTTGAAGTAAATACATAGTTTACAAAACAATTTATCATATACGGTATTTTTTACTATTAAAGTAAGCGAACTTATAATCACCTGTCGACTGCGTTGTTAAGATTTTGGGGCTCGATTTGCTGCAGCATAGATTTCACGGTGCTGGAGTAGTCTACTTCAATTGGAAGCCACTCATGTCCTGTACAAAAAAAACGCTACAAATATTATAGAATAGAATACGTTTATTTCCCAGAATACAGTAATTATGTAGGTCTTAAGTAAAATAAGGTACAGTGTATTCAACCTGCAAGCATTTGGCCAGACCGGCAAAATGATAGTGACGGAGTGAAGATATTTGTGTTTTCCATCCGTTACTCTCATCTTTGGACTGTATTCGCACTTTCCATCAGGCGCGGTGCAGTCATTTTGCCGAGTCACAATAAAAAAAAAAAAAGCAGATGTGCAAATATGAATAGGATTTTACGTTTAGTCTGTACAGTTAATTGCATTGTAAATTCTAAGTATCCTTTATAACTATAGAAGCAACATCTCAATAACCATTTCGTCAATTTAAATTTAAAAGTATGTCCTTGTAACCATTTAATTTCATTTGATATAATGAAAACATGTTGAAGCAGTTATTATTATAAATTACTTTATGGAAAGAAGGTTGGTATAAAACATTCATAATTTTAGCTCTAGTTTGCCTTTGAACTTCACCGCGTGTTTTAAAATATTGAGGATGAGTGTTGACAAATACACAACTATCCTTAATGTATATGCATGGCAAAGGAAGTATTGGAGAGGTTTATTTAATTAGTGTTGGAGAGGTTTATTTAGAGAATCACCGCATTTATTAACGCGGAATCGGTTCGAGCTTAGCTCGAAATTGAATTTAAAATAAATTATACATATATTCTAATCACAAAATTACTTCACTGTGAAAGGAAATGTCCCTGTTTATTCATACCTATGGTGGTTTAGCAGTTTCTAATGACACAATTAGGCATTTTTCGCGATAACGGCCGCGCGATCTGAAGCGTAGCAGCGGCAACTAAGCATTTATAGCTTATATTGGGCCCGCGAAGTAAGTGCACATGCGGCGTCGATGTAGTTATTATGTCTGTGCTTTTGTTACTACGTGTTGTTTTATTGGAAAAACAAATTTACTAAGAAGTCTATGAATCGCATTAACTATATACTGTTCGATTATGGTTTCTTTGTTTACAAATGTCACGTCAATAATCAATCAAACTGGGTGAGGTCGTAGAGGTGGTGGCGTAGGTATCGTTTGAATCCGTTCAGTTTAATCAGTCATCTGATGTAATGGTCGCTTGCAGGGTTGCCATGTGAAAATAAAAGAGTGTTTCCCTCTTGTCACCAATTTAGTCAGAAATCATTTTGATAAATAATTGGCCTATTCACTATTTCTTTATCAATTTTTTCAGTCGGCAGAGAAATAATAACGTCAGTTGATTTAACACGTTTACAAGTTTACGCATTTAAAATGTCATGCGGCCAGTTCACAGGTAGCGACCGTACTTGGTTCTTCACTTTCCTAGTAATTCTAATGCCGGGGTTCACGAGTCTTTCACTTGCGTTTTTCGCTTGCTTGCGTGACTCGCTTCGCGCGTACGCAAAGATCTGTCGCGTACGCGCAGGTAGGAAGGACTGTTTACGAGTCGGTCGCTTGCGCCGGCCGCTTGCTTTGAGTTGGATTTCTTGGCGTTGCGTAAGTTTGATATCTAACAAGCTTGATATTTCCATACCAGTAACAAGGAACGTTTGCTGAGAACAGCACCACTGGCCAATCACAGAGCAGCAGCGTCCACGCATACAATTAAACCAAAGCGGAAGACAGATTTTTACGCCGTATACCCAGCCGACGCAAGCAAGGGAAATCGCAAGTGAAAGACACGTGAACCCGGCATAACAGAAAGCTTGTCTTGTAAATGCGCGCACGTTTATAAAACATTGACCGTTCACTTTTTATTTTCACATGGCAACCCTGCAAGCGACCATTACATCAGATGACTGATTAAACTGAACGGATTCAAACGATACCTACGCCACCACCTCTACGACCTCACCCAGTTTGATTAGTCAACTGCCGTGACATTTGTAAACAAAGAAACCATAATCGAACAGTAAATAGTTAATGCGATTCATAGACTTCTTAGTAAATTTGTCTCTTACGGTTATATTCCGACATTAAATTCCTAATTTATCGACTATGTTTCGTGATTTCAAAGGTAAAAAATAGTAAAAGTATCTGGGTTTTTTTCTTTCTTTTTTCACTTGACAGAAAGTGACGATGAAGTCGACGATGGAACACGCACACTTATTATTATGTCTATTGAATCTCGCTTTTATGAAGGCAAAAGTCATAGCTTGCAGCGAACAAGTTTGAATGCGGGGGATTCCACTCAATAGCCGTTCGCTTCAACTTGTAATTGTAGAAGTATCAGCTAATAAATCAATACCTCATAATTTTAAATCCCGCTGAATGGCGAAGAGTCATGTTTAATTTGTCAACTTTCAAAACAAACTAATTCGTCTGCATAAATTACCTGCTAACAGAACTGGTTGACCTATTTTGGTGCTTCGTGCTATTTCTGCACGAAGTTCGTGAGCCACCAACAGCATTGTTACTCTGGAATAGATAATATTACGTTAAAAGAAAGCCTTGTTCCACATCGCGAAAGATTACAATATCGAGTCTACTTAGTAGTAGTAGTACTTAGTACAGCGGCAAACTGGAAATAGATTCGGGTCCTATTTTCGCAAGTAACAAAACACGGTTATTTGTGTTTAAAAACCCAATGCAAAGATCCGCAACAAGCACTTAGGAAAATTCGTAAGAACTGTAGGCTCGATCTTATAGGTCATTCGGTAAGAGCGGTAGCCAAGTTGAGACGACAGAAATTCTTCTTAATGTACGTCACATAAAGATTTATTCATCAATAATAATACAAATTAACTCGGAAGCACTTCGCTTGTACACTAAGTCAGATTCGAATCCGAGAAACTACGAATATCGCTTGTACACCTAGAGATAAAATGATCCCTGTGACATTTCAGTCCGTCATTTTTCGGATTCGGAACTGGGGTCTACTCTCAATCTCCGTCCGACATCCGTCCGAAACAATTACTGTCATATAAGTAATATTCGACAAAATTAAAAGACAAGTATCCAGTATGAAGCTTCATTCGCATCATGCGTCTTTTCATTTGGTCAAGTATTGCTTATTTGGCAGTAATTGTTTCGGACGGATGTCGGACGGAGATCGAGAGTAGACCCCATACGAATCGGACGCAGTGCGCAAACGCTCTTGCAATAATTTGCACAGTAAACAAGTATCGAACTGTGAAACTTACTGTCTCGTTGCTACTAGCAACTACGACTACAACAACTGTTATTAAGATATTTTTCTTCAGAATAAAAGCTATATGCTTACGATAGAGTCATCGAGACCATTTTTATTTAGAAGCTCGGCCTTTATAGTAAGATGCTTCATTAGAAATTGAAAATATACACCGTAACATGGATATGTGTAAAAAATGTTCGGTACCTGTGTATAATACACGGCAGAATCATTGCCTTGTACCACAATACTCCGGGGAAGTCATATTTGACACAAAATTCCGGAATGAAGATTTCCGGGAAAGCTTTTATCTTGTCGTCCTCTTCGGCGAGTGCAATTTGTCGTTTCTGTTTCTCTGTAAATGCGTTTAGTGTGGCAGCTCGTGGTAGGAGACAGTTCATTCGTGTCGTTATGTTCCGGACCTGAGAAAATGACAAGAGTTGTAGTTTGATGCGTACGTCAATAGGCAACGTTTACGAAACACGCTGTGTTCTAATTTCTAATGCTATTGTACACAGAAGCAAATTCGTTTCATGGTTCGCTCTTGAGAAGCGATTTCATAAGTATTCTGTTATCGTTTTCGAATAATAACGTTCTTTTATACATTTGACAATCATATTTGACGATCTCTGTGGTCGAGTGGCTTGCACACCGGTTTTCATGGTCTCGGCATCTATGAGATCTCTGTTCGATCACCGGCGGTAATGTAGAAACTGACTTTTCAGTATTGTTTGGATGTTTGTGGTACCGTCGTTGTTTCTCATTTCGATAACAGTAGCGGTTTAGTTACTTATTTTGGGATCAGAGCAAAGTATGTGATGCTGCCTAATACTTCTTTATGTTTATTTGTATTTAATCTTTATTATATTAGTTCAAAATGAAATGGAGTATATAAAATTACTAATACAACACTCTTTTACATTGATAGATAGACGTACAAAATGTACACGTACATGTACATTGCTCACACGTAAGAACAAAAACGGTACATAACAACTTAGAACGAATATAGGCAAGGCCTTATCGCTAAGATCGATCTCTTCCACACAACCTTTGAGACAGATAAAAAGTAAACAGAGCGAGACATGTGGTATGCCACAGGTAAAATTTTATTACATAAATAAAAATCAATATTATACTCATATAATTATCAATAATAAACAACAAAAATGTATTCCTATATTACATATATAAATATATCTAAATAAACTTATATTTACTAACAAATATAAATATGCAAACAAGGACCTTAGTAAAATAAAAGAAATGTGGTAACTCCGTACAAAGTAAAAGTGCGGCTTGCACATATTCGCATAACAGTGAAAGGCGCGTTGGGACGACCTGTGTCACGAGTGCATCGCGAGATTATGCGAATGTGTGCATCTGACGCACAAATACAAGCCGCGCTGCTACGTTTGTATGAACTTACCATACTTGTCTTATTATACTATGCCAAGACTGTACCAGAAGATACACACGATATTGAACGAATGATTTTATTAATAAATATATGTGTTGGCGCAATAGGACAACAAAGACAATTTGTTAGTGTTGGTATTAATTAATAGTAAATGTCAAAATAAACTATGTACCTCCAATAAAGGCTGATTTTTGTCCCCCACGACCTCCAAGTTGTATTTGGCGGAATAGTATTCGGAGTATGTACCACTCATGTCCGATTCTGAATCGAACTCTGAATTCGGAGTCTTGTATTCTAATACTCTCGAGACTATATATCTGCGAATGAATTATTCTATTAGACATAGTTTAATTGAACTCACCAACCATGATATATGTATAAATAAACATTAATGTTATTATATTTTTTAACCGACTTCAAAAAAAGGAGGAGGTTCCAGTTGTGAGTTGCTCAGATGTGGTCCCATTTCAATTTGAAGAAAATATTTCACCTCTAAGGGTGGCAAACTAGGGGATGAATGACTTTTTAGCTTTAATCGCAAAGATCTGAGAGACACTGCCACTGCGCCTGTCATCCTGAGACATAAGTTGACAAGTCTCCTGTGACTGTAATTTCACCAGCACCCTTACCCTTCAAAACCGGAACGCAGTAATGCTCACATTACTGCTTGGCGGCAGAAATAATCAAGGTGGCAGTACTTTTTGGACGAACTCTAATTTATATAAGAGTATATTATTATTATTATATTATATATACCGTGAAATTTTAATCACCGGAGAAATTTAATAGGCTTATGCTGACATTGATTTACATTCATCATATTACAAAAATATCCCCAATTTACATTAGTACTGATATAACTTAAATAAGCTATGTACTACATAGGGCGCACTATAAGTTTCCGGACCTGGCCACTTACATAAACAAAATTTTAAAAATAAATACAACATTTGAAACTGGAACTCTTTGGCTGTAAAATACAATTTGTTTCATATGACTGTCATTTGTTTTTACATTGTGGTGTTATTTTAGAAATTGGTTGTCTACATCACAATGGATTTAACTCGTAAAAATTTTCGTACAATGATTTTCTACGACTTTAAGTGTAATTTGACAGTTCAGCGGAGCTTCACTCGGCTTCAAACTGCTTTTGGCGATGAAGTAAGACGACTATTTATAGCTGGTTTGCAGAATTCAAACGCGGTCGTGTGAATCTCAGTGACGAATTTCGTGATGGCTAAGCCCACCCTGTCTCACTCCACACTCCAATTTGTACACGTCTGAGAGCGCACGTGCCGATCTCATTTGGTTGGTCTGATTCGCATACCAGAAGAGTAACAAATTAATCATCTCACCCTTACTTGTGCACTTTTCCATCTTGTCCGACAGGATATCATAAAAGACCATATCGAATGCCCTAGATAGGTCCAGAAACAGGCGTTTTCGCTTTGGTATAGTACTGGACGGTATGTTTAAAGCGAAGAATGGCATTTTCAGTTGACAGATTGGGCTCAAAAACCAAACTGGGCATAGTGGGTTTTTACGTGCTCTGATAACACACCGTCCAACAGTCCATCCAGCACTTTAGCCGCTAATGTTGCCGACGATATTGGTTTGTAATTGGACCCATCAGAGGCATCCCCCGTTCTATTTTTTGTAATTGGCACAACAATCGTCTTCATTAGACTGTCAGGAAGGTAGCAATGGGTAATGCACAAATTAAAAAGCATTTTGAGAACCCGGGGTAGGTGTGCTCCAGCATGCTGGAAGTGCTCGATACTGAGCCCATCATGTCCCGGCGACTTTTCTCTCGTCATGGACTTATTAACTCGGTCCACAAACGAGAAGCTAACCTACCGAACAACATGACGATCCTAAGCCGTCATTTTGTTGTTGTTCAAAAATTTAAAAAAATCATAACTCGGAAACTAAGAAAAATCGCGGAACATACATGGGGGTGATACCCCTAATTTACTTACCTAATTTGACCTAATTTCTTTTTTCTTGACGTCACTGTCCCAGCCACCCTGTATAGGTGATGTTGGACAGTAATTATGTATTTTTGTAGTAATAATTTATAATTTTCTCGGGTAATTAAAATTTCAAGGAATATAGCCAGAATTGTGAAATAAACTAGTTCAGTAACTTATTTCTTAATATTTTTGCATAGCAGTAAACGTTGGTTTTTACGTATCATATGTTTGAGGACTATTTTTGTAAAAACCGAAACATCGGAGCAACCGCAACGCAAAGGGAGATTATTGTAATAAATATAGTGTCATTGATTTAATTACATAAATTAAAATACGTACCTGGGTGGGCAGATAGTACCACGGTACCACGGGCTGACAACGTGATACATATATGCTTCCGGGGAGACTTTTAGTTTTCGCCTTTCCTGCAAAGAAAATAATCAATTTTAAAAATATAGTAATATAATAATTATACTACTGAGGCCGTCCTACACAAAAGTAAAATACCACATTTATACAAATAAAATACGACAGACAGACCTAAGGTGCGACACGCAAATCCAGACCAGTGCGTCGCGTTGTACATCGCCGAGCAATCGCTCCTACGGCCAACCTTTGCGCCGAGCAGTCGAAAATATTGTCAGACGGCGAATGTACGTTTTCCGGCTTTACAATACTGTCCGTATTTCGTGAAGAATCTTTTTTATTGTACTTGTGAATTTCAATAAACATTTTGTGTATTCTTACTGGAATCTGGACTTTCATTAGTCTTATATTAAGATAGATTTATATTAAGATAAGATATATCGATTGCAAGATTTTGTAGTAGTATGTGTACACATACTACTACAAAATCTTGCTATCGATTTCACAGCCTACAGTAGAAGCGATAACAGCCCAGGAAGTCCTGGTTTCAATCCATCAAGGCCGTGCGGTCTTAGAAAAACTTGAATAGTCTGTCTTTTTTTGAAGATGGAGTAAAATGACATTTGCAGGGATGCCAGTTTTCATAAAATTTTAAATAGTCATTGTAGTTGTTGTCGACAGTTTTATCGACATATTGTCAAAGAAGGTAAAATTTTGACAAAAATGTTGGAATTGTGAATGTTACGCCGTTCTAAACATTACTTAATTACAAGACAGACTAGTGTGTACTAATTATTTTTATATTTAACATCGAAGGTTGAATACAAAAGGCAACACAACGAAAGTTGAATGTTGGAAAAGGTTTATATAAATAAATCTTTGAAGACGTGAAATCCTCAACAAAATCAAGAGAAGACTCGTTTCCAGCAGAATGTGGATTAAACCTGTTTGTAACAGTCCCGTGCCTAACAGAATATGAACTAAACTTGCTTAAAGAGACCCGTGTTCAGAAGAACGTAGACGTCCACCCTTCTCCAACAATATATAGAATAAAACTTGTTAGATGCCTAGGAGAATATAGATTACGACTCTAAGAAGCTCAGCAGACGACATAAAAACTTCTTAGATCCCCAACAGAACGTAGATTAAATCTTCTTAGATGCCTAGTAGAATATACATCAAAATTTCTTAGATGCCCAGAAGAAAATAGATTAAAAGTTCTTAGATGCCCAGCAGAACATAGATGCAAACTTCTTTAGATGCCCAGCAGAATATAAATTAAAACTTCTGAGATGCCTAGCGGAATATAGATTCAAACTTCTTTAGATGCCCAGCGGATTATAGATCAACACTTCTCAGATGCCTAGCAGAATATAGATTAAAATATGTTACATGCTCAGCAGAATATATGTTAAAACTTCTTAAGAGACTACCTAGCAGATGTTAGAAGAAACCTGTGCTCAATGTAATATGGACTAAACCTTCTTAGAGCCCAGCACAGAGGTACGTGTATAATATAGATTGAATTATCTTTATCAAAAAATTAACTCACGTCAAAAGTAGGCTCCGTGAGTAGTGGTATTGAATAAGATGTTTGCAAACATTCCCAATCGACGTCGAAGCCGTCATCGTCTGATTTGACAGGCACAACGTACATTGCGTTAGCTGTGCCATCGAATACAGTGAATTTCTTCGCCACATCCAACACTTCGTCGAATATGAAGTAATGGAATCTGCAAAACAGTGTTTCAAACAATGCGGATTTTCACATCATTGATCATGATTCACACATGAAGATACACTCATAGACGGCAATGGTAAGTTTGTTCATACAAAAAACACGATTAGTAAAATATCAAATTTCAATATTAGAAATTATGTACTAAGTCTGATTATAGTTCAGCTGATCGTACTTAGGATTAATTAATAAAGAACTTTAGAAAATAAAATAACAAATAATAAAATTCGCTTAAGATTTCGATTCTCCATTCACATACGAAATGATTTATGAGTCTGTACAGCACACAATACAAACATGTACTTGGGTTGTGCAAGTTTACTCGCGGTGAAGCACGACCGAGTAAACAGGTCTTCATAATCTGTATACATATAATAATAATTGTATATTTAAATATGACAAGTTACCATTAGACAATAAAAGCATTTCCTAGATATACTTTATCGGTCTTGCCAATAGAAAAATATAGTTTCTTCAAGGTTCCGCAAATACTTAAGCAACTTATCGTGCTTTAAATATGGGTGTTTCGTTGAACCATAACCGTAATGTTTCTCACCGTTTGATCAAATTAAAGATGCTCGAATTCATAGGTAAAACGGCATAATTCACTTCCAAAGAGGTTTTTACTTCGCCCACGGTCAAAAATAGCGGAAAATCGCATAATTTTGGCAAAGCGTTGGGTGTCAAAAGCCCAAAACCTTCGTGCATTTTTAAGAAATTGTACAGCGCTTTCTCTCGGGAATCTGATGGTTCCGCAAACATTATTTCCATTTTTATTATATGGAGGTAAAATGTGGTTTTTGAATCAATATTTTTAGGGCCTTGCAAATAAGATGGAAACTGTAAAAAAATGAAGAAAAATACGTTAATTATTATTGATACAAATGTTTAATTATTATCGATACGATAAGAAGAAGAATGATGCAAAAGATCGAACCAACACAAAGAAAAATTCCTTCGACCCGACTGGACTCGAACCAGCGACTGTTGCCTCAACGCGGCTACTGCTCTGCCACCTGAACTATTTTACAAATTTAATTATGTGATTTTGCTTCTTTGCTGGTAGCTCTTCGAGAACATCAGGAAACTTAAAAAATCCCTCAGTATTGGGCCTGGGGAAATGTCTTTCAGTTTTTTTTGCAATATCACGTGTAAATGCTATAGTAATGGTTTTGAAAAAAATAATACTAACAACTTTAACGTGTTTGCGAACTCTCTTTTTGGTGCCAGTTTTCCGTATATCCTTCAAACCCTCATCTTCATCTTCATCCCAGGGCCAATTCGGAAAACAGGCCCGTACGTCGGGTTGTTCAAAGTCTACCTCTCTGTGAAATATGACAATGTTAATACGTACTTAAAAATTATTTCCGGACGACGGGTTATGGCGCATTTACACTAAGTCGACAGGTCGCCTTCACTAGTCTATGTAAACACTCAGTGTTTGACGACCCTAGTTCGCTGCTGAAGCCAACAGAATCGAATATATAGGTGCAATCATCAAACAAGTTTCAAAGTGTCGGTGGCCGCGTCTCACCACAATGCGCGTGCTAAGGGCTGTAAACTTGTAATTATAATGACTTGGTGACTTTGACACGGTGTAAACAGAGCGTCTACTGCACTGCCTTAGTCGGATTGGTTTGCCCAAAGAGGCGACAGTCAACTTCGTGTAATCGGAGAGAGAGAAAAACTACTTCGACTTGCCGAAAGAGGACTGCTTTGGCAAGGCGAACTAGTCAGCCAAAGGCGGCAATCGACACTGTAAATACGCTATAAGGATAATAATTTATCGTCTATAGAAAGGCATGACATGTAAGCGCATAAACAGCCCGTAAAACCAGCTTCAGTAGCAGTACCTTGTGAAAGACTTTGCCCAGGGAAGTACTGCCACCTTGCTTATTTCTGCCGCCAAGCAGTAATGTGAGTATTACAACGTTCCGGTTTTGAAGGGTAAGTGTGCTGGTGAAATTACAGGCACATGAAACTTGTCAACTTATGTCTCAGGGTGACTGGCGCATTGGCAATGCCCTTCAGAACTTTACGTTTTAAAGCTCTGAGTGGCACTGCAACTGTTATGGACAGACGTGTAGCTTACCATCAGGCGCACGACCGGTTCGTTCCGTCACTTGATATTATAAAAAAAGCTTTTTAAATACACCTACAGGTTTTTTATATTTTGCGTGTCAGCCTTCTTATAAGTTCTCAGAGTGCAAGGGTTATATTGGGTGGTTTAATCAGAAATATTGATTTACCATTGTGAACAATATCTTAAAAATGTTTTATTGACACAATAATACGAACCCATAATGCCGAGGCAATAACGTTATGGGATCCAATTCTCCTACGTGGTGCAACTGGATGCAGGCATTTAAAGCTGCTGAGCGTTTCGCTGATTTCAAATTTGTCATCGGTTTGCCCTGAAAATTAACGGAGATTAAACAATGGTTCATGCATTAAACAGAGTAAATAAATACGTAATTAACTTAATTTATACAGACAAGTTTGAGGTCCATACACTTACTATAATAACCTATCCGTAATACCGCGATACAAGTAATGCCATGGAACGGAGTACTGAAGTTTACTATTACTATTCCAAGTCGTGTTTTAGATACCAAAACGTGTTTACGCCAATTTTAGAATTGATAAAATGCCGAAAGACCACCCAGAGACGCTCAGAGATTATAGAGGCCATTTTTCAGACATTAGCTTTTTGTTGTGAAAAAGCTAATGTCTGTGAAATGAAATTTGCATAAATTTTATCCGGAAAAAGTGAAAATAAAGTGGCAAACATAATTCGAAAGTGTATCTTATACAGAATAACGTACTATTTTTTAATTTTCGGTTTCATTGTCTTTCTCGATAATTGCGCCGTATTTGGAAGAGATGTTTATATCATCATTATTGAGGCATATTATTCATTAACTAAAAAAACCAATTTCACAAAACAAAAAAAAATTTAAATTCAAATCGTTCAAATCAATTTCACAAAAAAAAATCCACACGTGTAAATGCATATACTTCTGCTACATGTTTTTTTTTTTAATAAAAAGCCGATATCCGAAAAATGACTTCTATTATAGATTGTGGGAGGCCAGCAATGAACAGGGACTCAATATACCGGGTGGAAATTTGTAATGCCACCTGGGGGGAAAGTACTCTAAATACGGGAGATAGAAATTTTTACTTAAAGGAAACATTCCTTTATTTTTTTAAGGAAATAAAACTGCATTCATAGATTTTCGAAAATTTTTTAGCAACACGCGGGAATCGAATCCGAAAAAAAATGCACCCTGCACTTTTATTGCATCGATCGATAGGGTTAATTATAAGAATAAAATCTCTCTCACAAAATTGGTTAATTAAATGAAAAAAAAAAAACATGAAATCTTAACGTATTTCAATAAAACGAAAAAATGGTAATCTAACTAATTAGTTGCTCGAAATGAGCTCCATTTTCTTAGATACACAAATTTAATCTTTTAACGAATTCATTTTGAGTAACTTTTAATAACGTGTTGTGATGAATTGTATTACAAATCGTATTCTGAACCCCAGCCTTCAACTCGTTTACACTTGCATAGGATTTAAGGTAAATTTGATTTTTAACATATCTCCACAAAAAAAAATCTTAAGGGGGTGAGATCTGGTGATCTCGCAGGTCATCTGATTGTGCCGTTTGTACCAATCTAGGTATTAAAATGGTTACTAATGTAGGCAGTAGTGACTCTGCTGTTATGGGCTGGAGCGCCATCTTGCTGCATAATTATTCGATTTCGCTCTAAAAAAAAGTAAAAGAAAAGTGCTTTAACTTGACCCATTGAATTTATAACTCCAAATATCATGGTTTGTAAGAGAGATTTCATCCTCATAATTGACCCTATCGATTGATTTAATAAAAGTACAGGGTGCATTTTTTTAAAGATTTTAGCAGGTTCGATTCCCGCGTGTGTCTAGCAATCATCGAAAATCTTTAAATGCAGTATTATTTCTTTTTAAAAATAAAGGAATGTTTCCTTTAAGTAAAAATTTCTATCTCCAGTATTTAACGTACTTTACTTCCAAGTGGCATTACAAATTTCCACCCTGTACAATTATGACTTCTGATTTTGTTAAAATTGCAGTAAGTACTTTCTCTATTACCAGTGTAACTGTTACTCATCAGCGAGCTTTGCATTTTAATGAAATATCGCCCGATACCGCGACTGACAGATGTAAGTGTTACCATACCAATCGACTGATAGTCGAACGACGTCATCGATCGACGTCGATCGGTAGTTGTGTAAGAATTGTCGATCGACGAACACCGATCTATGAAACAATAATTCGATCGATTTTGGATCGACGGTAGCGGTCGATCGACTGTCAATTTAATAATTCAATAAAGTGAACTCTCCCTTGTAACTTTAAAATATATTGCGACTTTGTTACTCCTGCTTTTATTACGGAGGCGAAAAAGTAAACCACAGATCAATGGCATCCATTGACCATTGATCGGTAATGTGGTAACACCCTAACGGTTCTAGACCTCTCAGCGCGATGTGAAATTAAGCACAATATCCTATTTGCACTTTAGACACATGCAACATTAATTCTTTCGATTTCTGTTTATGGCACTCAATACATACCTCAATGACATCCTTAATAGGGCACGCGATAGGCATAAAAATCTTCACAACACGAAATTGTTCTCCTGTGTTATCCCTGACTTTTTCCTCCACCCATAAAGGTGTAATCACAGTGAACTGGTCATGGGGCAGTGCCATACAGTAACGGTTAAGAAGACTTATAGCTGACACGGCTGCTAGACGGTCTGAACAAATGGAAATAGTACATTGTGTAACTAAGGCGCAAAATGGGTTATTGCAGGAGGACTGAAGCTTTAAGCTCGTGCTGGAGGCGAAGGTTTAATTGCTATATTATTTATTTACACACATAATATCATAAATCATAGATGTGTCCAAAAATCGCAAATTACGACCAGCATAAAGATAAACTGTTTTGTTAGAACAAATTTCTTATCTGTAAAATGTTATTATTGCTTCTTAATAACATCAAATTCGATTTTATATTACATTTGAATTTCGAACATCTCTGAAAAACAAAGCAATTCGATTCGATTCTGATACCAGTCGAGATGAAGTTTTATTCAAAATGAAATGTCCATAGCATTGACTTACAATTATATGGACGTAGGGTCCGCGCTAAAAAGTGTCCGCACTTGTAAGGCGCTAAAATCGTATACAGAGCGCCAAACTCCGCTTTAGTCTTCATTTGTTCTACTGACAGCGCGATACTGCGATGACATTACAATTTGAATTTCGAATAGGTTGACTTGGGACAATTTTTTCGTGGTTTTTGTATTAGACCCGTCGTCCATTTATTTGTAAGTCAATGGTCCATAGCAAACAATTTTGACAAATCTCACACGTTACTTGATATCGAACGATATGAAAGTTGGGGCCGACTCTAGTTTGTCCATGAATTAAAAAAAACTACGGTTGCGTGACATGCGTGAGAAATAAGTTTTTTTCTATTATTTTACTTATAATTACTGAATAGCTCTGATCAATGCCGCAATGTTAGTCGTAACATGTGGTTCCTGAACACATGATAGAGAGCCTACACACATCAAAAAAAGTTTGCGATCAATAGCATAAGCTCCTATAATTCTTTAAATTTAACTTTATCAAGAAAAAATCTATGTTGTATGCTTTCTTTAAATAGGAATACCCTGTTTAAAATTAAAATATAAAATTATTTTTTATTATTTATTTTAAAAAATTGAGCCATTAATCATAATGCAATAGTGATAGAAATTTCATAGAAAGAAAAAGACTGTTTGATTAAACTTAAACAACAATTTATTATAAAAAGGTGTGAATTCAATATAAAATAACTCCTCCCCTGGCTCGAATACATGCGAAGATCCTCCTGGGCATGCTGAGGATCAAGTTATCCAGCATTTCCTGGGGTAACCTATCCCATTCTTCAATAGCGGCTTCCCTGAGCTCTGGAACTGTCTGGGGACGTGGCTCACGGTTCCATACTGCTCGTTTAAGAGCATCCCACGCGTGCTCTATTGGGTTTAAGTCGGGCGAGCCGGCAGGCCAGTCTAATCGTGTGATATCGTATTCTTGAAGAGCAGCATTGACTCGTTGAGCTCGATGTGCAGGCGCATTATCATCGACCAGTACAAATTGGTGCCCATGGTTTACTCGGAATGGTCTGACGATATCATCAATAGCAACTGCTTTGTACATGTCTGCTGTCATGAAGCCCCGATACGGGATCAAAAGCGTTCTAGCTCCAATCATAATGCCACCCCAAAAGGACACCGATTTTCCGTCTTGCTGAACTGTTCCAGTGGCAGTTCTTTGTCTTTCACGGTCGCCTGGTCTTCTCCAGACACGGACACGTCGGTTATCTGGATGAGTGCTCTGTTCGGGATTAGTCAACGAAGAGACAGTTTTGCCAAATGTTTTCGTCCTCACCTTCTTCATTTTGCCGAAGTCTAGCCCACTGCAATCTTCGTTGTTGACGTTGCCGGGAATTGAGCGGAGCTCGCCAAGACCTCCGTGCTCGTAATCCAGCCTGGTGCAAGCAATTGCGAACGGTCTGCGTGTTAACTTCAAGCCCAGAGGCGGCCCTGACTTCTGCTTTTATTTTAGTGGCGTTGATTGTTGGATCACGGGCTGCCAGCAATCTAATATAGCGCTTTTGGGCAGCTGTCAAAACAGTTGGGCGACCGCTGCGGGGTCGGCCAGCTAAATTCCCCATTCCGTGATACCTCTGCAACGTAGCCACGACACAGGATTGGGATATAGCAAGTCTGCGTGCTATTACTCTCGTGGTGTATCCTTCTTCCCTCAAAGTTACTATTCTAGCTCGTAAAACCTCTGATAATCCTCTTGGCATTTTTTCAATCACAACTTTCCGCGAAAAATATCTTGAATCGCTTATAATTGACTAAATCAGATTTCTGAATGAGCGTAAGCTAGGACTGAAAGCCTTTTTATATGAAAAAACAATTGAACGGGGTCATTGTTTTATGTTCTAATTTATTTTTAAATAAAGAATCTAAAAAGAAGAAAAAATCATAATATAATCTACAGTAACAAAAAAGATTTCAGTTTTTCGAAGTGATCGCAAACTTTTTTTGATGTGTGTATATTATTATGTGTATAGATAAAGCAGTGCATTGTACTACACACACTTAGGCATTAAAACACATCCTGAGATGTTACGTTTCAACCCACACTCGTATGTTAATATCTTTCATTAACAGGAACAGTCACATAAATTACTATTTATTTATTATACTTTACTTACACCTATTTATTGATTATTTATTTATTTATGTTCAATTTGTACTAAATAAGTGTTAAAAGTATCACAGTGAAAGTACATGAGGGGCCTATTGCGGCAATGCAATTTGTGACAGTTGAGAGAGGTTGAATCCAAACATCGAATACATAACCAAATTACATTAAATAATACATGAAAATTAAAATAATAGCCAGAATCAATTGAATGGACGGAAAATAACAAATTACTCATGAGGGTCTAACTCGAATTTAATTTTTTTTTACCGTCCGTGATACATGCAATATTTTTCATCACATTTGCGAGCAAATAAATACAATGTTTATTTCTTATATGAATAAATATGGTTCACAACAACTATGGATTTTTCAAATGGCGGATTTTTTTCTAACAACATGGCCAGCTAGCTATTCTTCCATAGACAATACAACTCGAACTAAAATATTGTAAAAAGCAAAGACGCTAGACGAAAGATAGCCGTGATAGATTGTAAAAACATTTGCTAAATTTTTATACATAAATTAATTAAAATAAATTATAAGCAATTCTTAATGATAAGTATTTATTAAGTAGTATGAGGGGAGGTCCAAAAGTCCGCGGAATGGAGGGGTTGTAAATAATATAAAACAATAAGGCTATTTTTCCTTTTCAATATAATTACCTTTGAGCTCAATACATTTTTTAGATCTCGAAATTAGCTTTTCTATGCCATCGAAAAAAATATTTTTTCTCTTTGCTCTCAAAATGAGCTAAAATTGCTGCCTTAACCTCTTCATCGTCGCGAAATTTTTTCCCACGTAATTCTTTTTTCAAATTTGGGAACAAATAATAATCGCTGGGGGCTAGGTCCGGGCTGTAAGGTGGGTGGGTCAGCGATTGAAAGCCACACTTGTGTAGAGCAGCCATCGCAACATTGCTCTTGTGAACCGGTGCGTTGTCTTGCAAAAGCAACACACCCTTTGTCCATTTTCCCCGCCTTTTTTCTTTGACAGCTTCCTTCAGTCTCTCTAATGTTTTTGCGTAATATTCTCCAGTTACATTGACCCCCTTTTCTTTGTAGTCAACCAATAAAATTCCTTCACAATCCCAAAAAACCGTAGCCATGATTTTTCCAGCCGATTCCGACACCTTAAACTTCTTAGGGGGTGGTGTACCCTTTTTTGCCATTGCATGACTCCTGTTTGGACTCGGGCTCAAAGTGATGAACCCAAGTTTCATCTCCAGTAACAATTTGCTCCAAAATTGGGGTAGGTTCTGCGCCACACAGCTCCAAGAAGTGCTTTGATGCATCGATTCTTTGTTGCTTTTGAGGTGGCGTGAGCATTCTCGGCACCCATCTTGCACTGACTTTCGTCATGCCAAGATGATCGTGTAGGATCCTCAAAATGGTAGTGTCTGATACTCCTACCAATGCAGACAGCTGTTTCTTCTTCAGACGGGCATCTTCCAATATAAATTTTTCGATTTTTTCAACATTGTCTGATGTGGTGGCCTCAACTAGCCGTCCTGGGCGAGGATCGTCTTCAATTGATTCTCTGCCATGTTTGAAAAGACCGTGCCACTTGTAAATCATTCTTTTACCAGGGCACTGATCCCCATAAACAGTTTCCATCTCATTCATAATGGTTTGAGGAGGTTTTCCTTGCTTGTTAAGGAATTTGATGACAGCACGAAACTCAATTTGCTCCATATTTGCAGTTTTCTTCCGGATTTACTTGTTTGTAGGGCGATATCTCGTAAACTAATGAAGTTAAAAGGGTGAAGCTTGATATATATACCCCTAATGAGTATCTGATTAGTACCACATCAAGCAAGCGTAATTAGCGGGCTCCCGCCCCCTCCATTCCGCGGACTTTTGGACCTCCCCTCGTATGTGGCTGAATTGCAATAAAATTTCTGTTTAGATAACATTTTAAGCGAATGTTTTAATTTTGAAGTTAAGCAAGCAACCTCCTTGCTTAGACTTGAACCTGATCTATATAAGGAAGTAATCGTGCTACAAATTAAATAAAACTCATTGTCCATGGCCCTAATGGGAAAAAAGTCCGAGGTTTTATTTGGGGCGTTATAGTCAAGTTAGCCACCATGCAATCATATTATTTACGCGCAAGTGTGATGAAAATTAAATTAACAATAATAAGCAAGTGCTTTCCATATGATAAAAATGTAATAAGTAAATAAGCATTGTTAAGATAGTTAGTTAAAAAAGACCGCTAGTTAGGATGGAAACACGAGCGCGACATCGTGATATACTTCATCAGTTGATAATTAGGACCGACTACACCACTAACCCATTTAAAGATATTAATATAAAATAATACAAACCAAAAACGTATTCATAAAAAATAATTATTAAATACAACTCTAGACTCTCTTAAGGCTGTTTCAAGTCGTCGTTACGTCCTGACCAGTGTTGCCGCACTATGAGTAAGCAAATAAATAAATTGTCATCAGCAAATATTAAAAATTGTTAAGTGCTCAACTCTTTATATGAAAATATGAAAGTGACTTTTGTTTGTTTTTGTAGCTGTGTTTACCCGTCCATAGTTTTAATTTCACTCTTGAACTATTGAATGTTTCGCTCCATTCATGATTCAAAATATCTCTTGTGAAATTGACTGATACATGTCTTGCAACACGAACTACTAATTTAAAGGTTGACAGGTAAATTTGTCCCTGAAATGGTGGCCGGTACAAATCAGTGTTACCAATTAAAAAGAAAATGCGGATCACTGGCGTCGTACCACCACCCTACTTAACTCTACCGCAAAGGAGCACCTTTGTATTCCGAATTGAAGAGTAAGGAGTCAGCGGAACCATAGGCCCAGAAATCTTCAGATCTAAAGTCCCACTGTTGATAACGCATATTTGCGATTAAGGTAGTTTAAGGTAGTTTATCATTTACCATCACGTCTGTTTGCAGGTTTAAATACCATTAGACAGAAGATCAAGATCGAAATCGAGAGATTGAACTCACTGCCATTAGAAGTGATATAGGGCGGAATATCTTCGGTGTCATACATGTCTTGAATCTCCTCTTCAGTTGGAGCTTCGCGGTCGTCTGAACATCCCACCAAAATCTGTAAAAATAATATAGCGTTATAAGTTTGCAGGTATACGATTTTGTTATTTTCTACATTCAATATAGGACTCAAACGATGAAGAGGTGGTGTGGAGGTGGCCATAATCGTTCATGGACAATTGCAACGCCAGGAGCTACCTTTGTTGTCATCCTTGGAGAGCACTGTTTACTCGCTTATTGACTGTTCAAAAAACGAATATACGCGCAAAAAATACTTCAGGAGAGAGTCCTTTCCACATCTTACAGGTTCGAAGTAATAAAGTCTGCGTCGTTTCAGTATGCCAGGCATCCAGGATATGAGGGGGATTTCTTTGGCGGGATGTGCAATGGAGGAAACGTGACTGTGGCACCAGTCCGAGAAGTTCCCCTGAGCACTAGAAATTACTTTTAATAGAAATGCCACTAAAAACCAGTTTTAGTAGTTCTAGTTTTGTTGTAAATAAATTGACAAAGATAAAAATAAGTGAGGCTTATAACCTTCTGGATATAACTTTCTATTTTCTGGAATCCTTCGTACTGTTTGCTAAATTTATGAAAGTTGGATTGTTCCACTAGTATCACGTAGCTGGACTCCGAACTCCTTGCTCGACCTGTGATAAAATAAAACATACTAATCAAAGACTTCTTTTCTAATTTGGTATTGAAATGTCTACACAAGCAGTGCATTTAAAAAAACATACTGAAATAACAATTGCTACTATGTGTATACATAAATCAGAAAAATGCGTATGTATTATATATATTATATATTGCAGTGGATTAAAAGAAAAATAATACCTTTGCTTTGGATATACGATCTGTATTCCTCTGGGCAGTCGTATCGAAGGACAAGCAGGCACTGTGTTATATCAACACCTTCCTCTATGACACTTGTTGATATTATGCAATTCAGTTCCCTGTAAAATAAGAGGAAATATCTAGGATTAAGAGGAAATATCTAGGATTCTTTCAGTATTTTTATTTTTTAAGTCCGAATGATCAACGATCTCATCATCCTCAACGGGAATACGTCATATCCTAGACAAATACTTTTCATAAACAGGCATTAACAAAAAGATGCGATTATATTTGCAGTTGATGGTAGTACTGGAGATAAACAATAACACAAAGGATAACTTAAGAGTAGCAGTTGAAAAATGTTATATACGCTGACTTTGCTTAACAGTAAAACTGAAACTAAATAAGACATAAAAAATCCGCTTATAGGGGATTATAAATGTCGTTTCGCTAATTTCAGATATGTTAATAACTCAATTTCGTTAAACATATCGATTACAATATACATGTGTTGATTCGCTCGCCACATTTATTTTTTTATTTACAGAGGTCATTCTACATCCGAAACTGAACCCAAATCACAAAAAAAATTTAATAAAAAAATCCTCATTTCTTATTTTTTATTGACATGATCTAAAGGTCATTGACTTGCACGGTACGTGCTAACATTTATAGCGCAGCAGGAAGAATCGAGAAAGTATTATTTTGCTCTCTTTTTTTCTAAAACGCTGCGCACGCGCCAGCAAGCGAGCGCACTAGTTAAAGGTGGGATAGGCGAACTCGTCGCAATCCTAGTGATCTATTAGCTACTCTCTCACGAAATGCCACGTGGTTTGGTATGTAAGCAAGAGTTAGTGCAAAACAGAACCGCTACCGGGTTCACCAGAACCTGTATTACCATCATCGAGTATATAACCAGAAATAGACACGAAATAAGGGTCATCCATCCCTGGAAATTCATCAGGCAAATGGGCCTTATATAATTTTTAAATATCAACTCTCGTTTGCACGGAAATCACAAATTAGAAAGTTGTAATAGTACAGCGCCAACAACTGACCTGTACGTCTCCGTATATTCCAAAAATATTATATGTTTATTGTAATAAAAATAATATCTCTAAATATGAGGGGCTGTTCCGTTCGGTGGTGTGAGAAAAACAGCAAAACATGTAATTACAAAACAAACGGAATCACATTTTATCGGTAACTAAATATGCAATTTTACAATTTTCGTTAGTTATAGCAAAGCTCAAGTTAAACTGGTCGATTAAAAGTGAAACAATTGACGACACCCTTTAATTGTTTCGAATTCGGGCTGGCCAATCGGAGCGCAGTTGTCACCGTAATGATTTGGCAGAATAGTTTTCAAACAAATTATATGACATTTCGTCTACATTTCTGGCTCGATGATTACCATCAAGTGTAAGTGCGTGACTATTCTTATGGCATGATGTGAAACGTTTAGTTTACGCAGAGGAGATTGCGAGTGTCGAAGAATTGCGCGCAAAAATAATGTCGGCTTTCAAAATTGTGAAGCCATATGTGGAAAGTTGAAACGAAACTCACGTGCGAATCTCTGCACAAGCTGTGGACCTAGGTACTTCTAGCAATACTTTCATGTAACCTAAACTTGATAAGTACCAAATCTAAATTACAAACACAAATTCAGACAACTTTTCCAATTAATGTAAATAATTAGTAAATTATAACAATACTAGTACATAATCATAACTAAAAAATTAGTAAAATATAATATAATAAATAGGTAAATAAGCGATCGAGAAATATTAACTATCACTTGGAGAAGCGTGTGGCGAAGCCCTCGCGCGGTGCACACAATTTAGGGACAAATTCGCAAAACTTTACTTGATACAATTAGCCAGAATATTGAACAGTATACTTTTTTAAATATTTTTAGATGATTAAGCATTATTTATATAAAATTTCTTAAATATAGCGAGAATGCAAATCAACACACTATATAGTGTAAGGGCAGCAATGTTGTCGATGTACCTAATGAAGGGCCGACATTGCGTTTTCTTCCTACTCATGGAAAAAACTGTGTCGATTCACAGTCTTCGAACTATCCAATAAGACACATTTTTTAAATACCTATCAGATAACATTCTCCGTGAATTAAAAGGAAACAGTACAATATAGTTGTCTCGTTTAAAAGGGCATACAAATTCAAATACACAGAATCGACGAATGTTTTTTTTATTATTCTACTGAAAAACTTACTTTTTACTGAACTTAAGAAGAGCGGTTTGGCTCGCTTTTTTGGTATAATGCTGTTCCCTCGTACATTTAGTTGGGTTAATGTTGAAGCCGACAATGAAATCGTGTTTTAAAAACCCAAATTCTTCCGGATTAGCCTCCTTTACATCTTTAAGGAGGTTATATAGAACTTTAGCGGTAAACCTTTGTTTTGTAAATATGATTGCAGACATTGGTTTCCTTGCTATGTTCACTTTTAATAATCCTGTAACAAATAATATTTTTTTTTTATTCATTGTCAGAATTCTATTGCGACATTACATTATTATTTAATAATTATTACATTGCGACGATACATTACCACGCGTGTAGATGAAGTTAATGTGTTTCTTTTTAGTATCATACGTAATATATTACGGAAAATACAATTAATTACCTTTAGGAGAATTGATCGCCTGAGGACTATATTCTTTTAAAACATTCAAAACTTGAACAAATTTTTCTGACGAATGTTTGATAATTTTTTCATAACCACTGTCTTTTTCCATTGAATTTATTAAAATCATTCTCGCTCTGAAAGTAAAAAAGTGATTAGAATAGTTACTGTGCGAGTGAGAGAGCGAAATGTAAAACTAATTGGTAGGGGAAGGATTACTGTAAGGACAGCCTGTCGTTATCATGTTTTCCAGTACCGCTAGAAACACGACACATCGAAAGTAAAATAATAAATATAATAATAATAATAAAGTAAAATAAAGGGGCTTTGACCATTATTGAACATCGGCCCCAAAACAATACATCAAGAAAACATTTAATAAAATCCAAACAGATGTAAATACTACCTAACCAAACATGTACACAAAATCTTCGCGTTGTTGTCTCAGACAGAACGGATTTAAACTACCCAACAAACCAATATGTGTAACAATCGCGAAAACCTACGAACTCGATAAATATATTAAATATTATAACGATAAAATATTGTTAAAAATACTCACGCTATAGAATGTGTAATTGCGAATTTGAAAAGGTTTTCCGCTTGAGCTGTGATTGATTTTCGTTTGAGTCTTTCCATTAAGATGATGTAGGCCAAAATGCCCAGCGAGCCTCCGTACACCCCTAGCTCATTGATGAACATTATCATTGACACTATCATGTTCCTTACTTCTTTTACCATCTGTAAAGATGAAGATTTAAAGAATTTATTTGAGGAAAATGCTATTAGCATAGTCATACAAGAAGAGAACTCCGCGAACGCTGCCTACATTTTGGGTATCATGGCGTTATATGATATCTATTTCACCTATTAATGATATTATTGTTAACTAATCCTAGCACTTCATGTCTGTTGGTCCTTTGTATATTACTTGCATAATCCTTAATTAACCGACAAAAAAAACGAGAAAAACTTCATATCAGTCAGGAAAATATATTTATGTTAATGGTGCTTTCGGTGGCACCGCTTAGCAGCCTGGTCTTTAGATGAAGAAAGAGATTTTAGTAGCAGTAGTACTCCTTGTGGAAGAGCTCGTCCAGGGAAGTACTGACACCGTACCTATTTCTGCCGCCAAGCAATGTCAGCATTACTGCGTTTCGGTTTTAAAAGAGAATTGTTTTGAAGGGTAAGGGTGCTGGTGAAATTACAGGCACGTGGGACATGTCTAGTTATGTCTCTGGGTGACGGACGCAGGACTTTGTGATTTACATCTCTGAGTGGTGTAACGTTGTCGTTGCACTAATTTAGAGGATTAATTATTTATTTGCAAAAATAACTTACTAAATGCTTAATGTCCTTATACTGTATTTATTACGGACAGGCGTGTCGCTTAACATCAGGCACACGACTTGTTCGTTCCGTCACTTTGTATCATTCTGATTTAGGAGTGCTCGATATACATCGATATTTCACAAAATATCGATATGTGCTTTCGATATATCGAATCAATCCGTTTTATTGAACTATTTGATTGAGATTTGATTCATGTAAATCAGACTCTGATTCCCAGTAGGGCAAATATTGGAAACAAAAACTTATTTATCTTGGCTTTGTCAGGGTTCTGAAGAGATGCCCTAGATTCAATTTCGTTACTTATCGTGCAGGAAATTCCTTGGTTTGAGACCAAGTAGTTGGTGTAATCAAGGGGCATTCGTTTATAATATTTTTACAAATGAAACTATAAAAACAGTCTACAGTCACAGCAACCTAAAGATTTATTACTTTTTGATAACTCAAATTACAATTTACTTAAATCACAGTAAGAGTATTAACATCAATTTATATGAATCAAAAGCACTATGACTCCACTGGAAACTTCCGTCACACGCTAAGCGAAAGGAAATGTGACACAGGACGCCGCTCGACCCCTCCTCTTGAGTAGGGGAATCCTCAGATCTAGGGGAATTCCCTGACACCGCCTTTTATGCAGCATCGGTCGGGTAAGGGAATTCTATAAGAATATTTTACACACGAAACGTTTATTGTACTGTTTTTGTATGGTTATTGGAAAGTTGTTAATACCACTTTTTAAAGATACGTAAAACCTTTAAATATAATAAAGACATAGTATTTGAAAAGGAGGACCGTTTTGTTACACGCCATTTTACAATCACATACCTAATTTACATAAAGAAATTCAAGAACTTAAAATTTTCTTTAAACACTTAAAAGAATTCCTTCTAAATAAAAGTAAAAAATAAATACATGTGACACTTTGTGTCACATGTACATTTTCGAGCCATTGTACTTAATATAAGTGTGACAATGCAATAAATGTTAAATACAAAGTCAAAGTTACGCAGTGACACTTTATTTGAGAAGTAATTCTTAATGTTAATATATGTTTTTCTTGAAAACATGTGCGTACCGATGTCGGAAACCCATAACTTATCTAATAATTTCAGTAAACTTTTAACATTATTATACAATACAGAGATGTAAGGTGAACATTTAAATTTTTAAATTAAACTCTATTTTGTAAATGAGTTACTTAATTTTATATCCTCGTGTTTTGCATTGCAAAGCATGAAATTTGTTAAAAAAAAAAGGTTGCATCTTTTAATATTGGGCGATTTTGTATTTTATTTTCTTCAATTTCATTAATCTAAGTTATCAAAATGCAAATGCCAATGAAAGCCAGACAGCGGCACCGGCTCGCATTGCAAAATTAAAACAGAAATCCGTCCTGAGTATGTCCTAGATGGGGATATTTTTCCCTGAATCCCCAATGTGTGAAGCTAGCTGATTCCGACATTAGCAATACTAGAAAAAAAATCAAAAACTCGACAAAGTTTTTGACATTTTACTAATTGCTAATTACAAAACTTTCGCGGGTTGTTCAAATTTCACAACGTATACTTAATTCTATCGCTTAATAGGAAATATGTTCAAAAAGAAAAACTTAAAGCTAGACTGCTAACGGTGTAACAAAAGCCAGCAGAGTTTTGATTTGGCCATAAACTAATCTAGGCAAATAAATTCTAAGCTAAAAACGAAACAAACAAAACAATAAATAAATAAGGAAGAAATAAAAAAAATACCTACGCTAATGTGACTCATTGATCGGTCTATTATAAAGTAGACACTTGCTAGAAGATGCAGTCAGAGGGAATTTCGGTGAACCATCTAATTTTGTGTATATATACATATATTTGCAGACCGTTACAATGAGTTGCAAAGCATAAAATAAAAGAATACAAAGAATGTTATTAATAAATAAATAAATAACGCACACACTCAACATAGCCCCGCACTAGGGAAACCCTGTGTCGCGGGTGCCATGGACACACACATGGACAACCACAAATTACACCCAAACTCACGAGAGAAATAAATGTAAGCCATACAAACATTTCTCCCGGTCCGGGAATCGAACCTGGGACCTCTGCGTGGCAGTCCGGCATGGTAATCGTTCGGCCACGGAAGCAGTATTGAAATTATACTGAAAATAAAAGGCGAGATATACATAAAAGCTTACCTTTTTAGGATCACAAGAAATATCGTGTTGCCATTTCTGCAATTTTATATCAGGGTGTCCTGATACCTGTGGCAACTTGGTTGCCAACACCAAATTTTGCAAATTGTCCAAAATTTGAATAGCTTGTGAAGCAGCTTCGGTTTTCACAGGGGGTTTATAGAACATTATGACTTCGTTTGGATTTGTCGAATAACTGTAATATCAATAGTAAATCAATTAGTCGGGGTCCAAATCAACGTTCACGCATTACAATAAGTAGCACAACAAAATCATGTAGTCCACTCAGAATGACTGGCACTGAAAGAGAATCATCATATCACACGGAAGACGTTCGACTGCTGAGCATAGGCCTCCCCCAAAGATTGCCAGACTAGTCGGTAGTGAAGAGAATCAGTTTAAGTGAAATTCTTTATTATACAGTATCATTTGTAAATCGGGGATTTTATTAATGAATGCTGTAAAATTCGGTTATTAAATTAGTCAAAATTAACAAACGATAATTGGTAACATTTTTGCAAATTTGTTTGAACATTATATTATCAAAGGTAAGGGTCACATTGATAGTGACACTCGCACGGCCGTGTCGACGCTCTAACTACCGTGTCGACGCTTAAACGGCCGTGTCGATGCCTGAATAGCAGCTACCGATCGTCGACGGCCAAACTAATGCGACAAGTGTGGCGCAACATAATCGCCTTAAGCCAATTCCGCGCCGATAAGTGTGATGACTCCATTACATGGTTTATTTTTACCCCGATTCTGAATTTTAATAAGGAATAATAATAAGCTCCATATAGCGTATCTAAAAACTTACTTCAAAACTTCACCCATTTCATTAACTGTAGCAATGCTAGCGTGGAAAGTAGTCTCTAATTCCCGCAGCGTTTTTGGTACTTTGCACATGTCCACATTGGCGTTCAATAGAGTAGCTGTTAAACCTTAAATAAAAAAGCACATAAATAGTTATACTAATGAATTTAAAATAACATTGGAAAATAATTGTGAATGTAAATTTAAACCACTTATATAGGGAGACAGAATTCGTAAAGTTCCAACCAAATAATAGCAAAGTGTCGAACGGTTTTGTAATACTTCATCCTTATACGAGGGGAGGTCCAAACGGAATGGAAGAGTTGTAATTAAAGTCAAACAATGATACCTTGGAGCTCAACATTTTGAGATCTAGAAACTTTTTTTAGCGTCTTCATCGTCTCGAAACTTTTTATCTCGAGCTCACGCCAACGCACCGAGGGAAGACTGCCGCCGGTGCCAGCCGGGGCGGCCTCACATTGTATGGGTCTGTGGCGCGAGCTCGCCCGTACAAATAGACGCAGCGCGGGGATCAAGGATTGAGGCTACAAGGTGGGCAGACCAGCGATACAAATACACACCTGTGTAGTGTAGCCATTGCAGCCATACTCGTACATAGGGCGCACTATAAGTTTCCGGAACTGGCCACTTACATAAACAATATTTAAAAAGTAATTAGAACATTTGAAAATGGAACTCATTGGCTGTAGAAAACAGTTTGTTTCATCTGACTGTCACTTGTTTTTACATTGTGGCGTTATTTTAGAAATTGGTTGTCTACATCACCATGGATTTAACTCGTGAAAATTTTCGTACTATGATTTTCTACGACTTTAAGTGTAATTTAACAGCTCAGCGGAGCTTCACTCGGCTTCAACTGCTTTTGGCGATGAAGCACCATGCAAGACAACTATTTATAGCTGGTTTGCAGAATTCAAACGCGGTCGTGTGAATCTCAGTGACGAATTTCATGATGGTCGGGCGACCATCATGAAACTCCACTCCACTGCTGTGAACAACAAAAACATCGATCCTGTGCGCCGTATGATCAAAACAGACAGGCATGTGACGTACCATGAAATTCGGGCATCTTTAGGCTTAGGCATGAGTCAAATACAATCAATACTACACAAATATTTGGGTGTGAAAAAGCTGTGCTCTCAGTGGATTCCACACAATTTGACTGAGGCTCAAAAAATGGATCGCGTCACTTGGTGCAATGCCATGCTTACCAAATTCAACGAAGGGGCGTCAAATTTGGTGTGGGAAATAGTAACAGGTGACGAAATATGAATTTATAGTTACGATCCCAAAACAAAGCAGCTATCGAGCGTATGGGTCTTTTAAGATGTGCCGAAACCAACCAAAGTGGCGCGCGTGCAAAGTGCCTCTAAGCGTATGATTGCTTCTTTTTTTAATAAAATTGGACACGTGGCCACTGTTGCTTTGGAGAAACGTTGTACCGTGAATAGTGATTGGTGCACGACCATTTGTTTGCCAGAAGTTATTGACAAAGTCCGTAAAAATAACCGTAAACGCCGTATCATCTTGCACCACGATAATGCCAGTTCTCACACGGCCAGACAGACAAACGAATTTTTGAAGGTGAACAACGTTGATCTAATGAGCCATCCCGCGTACAATCCCAACCTGGCACCTTGTGACTTTTATTTATTTCCAAAAATTAAAAACCAGTTGCGCGGTCAACGATTTTCATAACCTGAAGAGACTGTCGAAGAGTATGAAAAATGTGTTTGAAAAATTTATATTATTTATAGTATTTTTTTTTGTTATTTATTCCGGAAACTTATAGTGCGCCCCGCGTATGAACGGTGCGTTGACTTGCATAAACAACACCCCTTTTTAAATTTTCCCCGCCTTTTTTCTTTGATAGCTTCCTAAAGTTTCTTCAATATTCTTGCACAAGTCATTAAATTCTCCAATTGTTGTCCAATTTTTCATAACGATCGATCACAAACATGTATCACAATCCGAAAAACCGTAGCCATGATATTGCCGGCCGATTCCAACACCTTAAACTTCTTTAAGGTGTAATTCTTATGCCATTGCGTAGACTCCTGTTTGGACTCAGGTTCAAAGTGATGAACCCAAGTTTCATCCCCAGTAACAATTTGTTCCAAAACTGAAGTAGGTTCTTTCTTCACCATACAGTTCCAGTTGAAACTTAAAATTTACCTGATTAGTATCCTATCAAACAATTTATTTCCTGCCTCCCATTCCGCGGAATTTTGGACCTCCCGTCATATCATTAATATACCACACATCCGCACTAAACGCTTTATTCTTCCTAATGCGTACTACAAAGGAAATATCTACACTACTATCTGCATTACCCGAGAACTACAATTCAGGGCTATTCAAGCTAGTGTGTACGTATTTTTTAGACAAACGCGTATCATCGAGAGATTGTGAACATGCGTGTGTCTATGTACACAACACAAAATGGTTAAGCAGTAGTTAGGTACAAAAGTATAATTTAGAAATTATTATTGAAGTTCTAGAATCATAAAGTTTATTTGTTAGTTCGCATTTTATTTGCGGCTTCTGCACTAAGCACAGGCTTGTGTCGCAGAGACCATTTTACATTTACTTTTAGCACAGAACTCTGGTTTGATATTTTGATGTAAACTCAAATAAATTATACGTGAAAGTTTAGTTGCAATTGTGTAATATTTAAAATAATTATGTCGCTGGACTAATTAAACTTACACACAGTGAATAAAATAAAATGAGTGTATAGTTATTTTTGATACAAGTGCGGAAAGTTAGTCATTATTCACGAGTCTCGAGGCTTCTTGGCCCGAGCCAGAGGCGAGGGTCAAGACTCGAGTCAAGTGAAAATGACAAATCCGCACGTGTATCAAACGACGTTTTTTAATACATTTGCGAAAAAACTACATTGAAAGTAAAATAACAGTATTTAAAAAAAACTCATTTTCTGCTAGTAAATTAAAATAATGAAATACAACCACTGCAACCATTATTTAAAAGTGTATGGAAATCTAGTTCTAACGTGCTGTTTTTGTTTATTTTCTGTAATATCGGTCTGTAACCACTTTTCTTATTATGAAGTCCTGGTACTTTTGTTTAAACTTCTTTAGGAACCCGTGCACGGTAGTGAGATACAATTTATCTGTAATACATAGAACAAATATATACATAAAAATCTCGCCTGTCACCCATTCAGGGGTAGGCAGAGACTGTGGACCTCCACTCGATACGTTCATTATATAGTATTTGTAAATAAAGATAAGTTTTAATGACGAATGACTTACGTCACAAAGCACATAAATATACAACTTCTTTAGTTCTGTGCTTAAGATTTGAAACAACAGTAAATTTAAAAAAAATGGAAAAGTAAAAAGCACTAGTGCGAAAATTCCAACTTTCGGCACGATTTGTAGTACGAAAAATACCACGTTTTGAGCAACTGTATTAAAA